AAATGCTCACATTCCATCAATTTACATTTTATATCAATCTATCTTGATATTAATTAGAATTGATTTTAAAGCATCACCGAAATTATAGTAACATTTCTCGCTCTCTACATTAAACAGATTTTTATAATTTTCTCAAAACGTTTCAACGTAGTTACAAGGAAAGTCTAACTGTCTAGGAAAGTATAACTCTCTAATAATATACACTTTTAATCACTTCTAGGACCTCATCTGAAAGTAATAGCAACTATGTCTGTAGGATACGACCATATTGATCTCGAAGAATGTAAGAAAAGGTATATTTTTTCTGTTCTCTGTAAGTAAACATTTATAAATAAACTATCACGCATTTTTCCTCATTTACATTTTCTCTTTTCCAGGAATATTGCTGTGAGCAACACTCCTCATGTGTCTACAGATTCCGTAGCCGAATTCACCGTTCTACTTATGCTTGCTGTTGGAAGACGTTTATTTGATTCTGCAGCAGCTATCAAAAAGTAAGGAGGGGTTGATATATTAAAAGTAACGTATTTGCTATTTAACATCTATATCATGTGCGTTTTTAAGTTTTGCTCTAGCATTGCTTTAATTATACGAAATTATTTTTGTAACCTAAAGAGTACATGTTTAAGCGAAAACAGAGGATTGAAATTTATTTTATAAATATTTAATCCATTATAAGCAGTGGTTTTCTTATGTATTGTTATGTTCTTAGTCACAAGTATTGTCTCACCATAGCACAGACCAAATAGACATTTTGCACTAAAAAAACATGAAACTTCAACTATACCTTTGTTGGGTTTGAATCTAGATTTTCCACCACATCAGTGATCGCTTACTTCCGCATAATATAAACCTTCGGCTCTAGTATAGAATTGGGGGCCCCTTCGATTAGCGACAATTTTTTTTTGGACAAATTTAAGGCAGTGCGAAATGCCTAGTTTGTGCAATTCAGGGATTTTTTTTTAAGTGAAAACAGATCGATGTGTACATGGACACACAGTTTTTGCAATTCTTCGACTTCTTATTTTGGTTTGGTGTAGCATCCACCTTGAAATTGTGCCTTCCTGGCACCGATCTTGGCGTCAAAAAAGAATCACCAAAAATTAAGGGGCACCCAATTGTAAACTTTTACCAAACCTTCTTCCTATGTATGTTCTTATCAAAAAAAAAAAAAAAAAAAAAAAAAGAAAAAAAAGAAAAAAAAGAAAAAAGAAAAAAAAAAAAGAAAAATTATCGAGAGTAAAATTCTATAAAATTTGGGAAGCTTATAAGGTATTTCTTCCGCCTTCTTAGCATGCATTCATGGTGTAGTGGTCTACACGCTGGGCGCGTATTCCAGAGGTCTGTGGTTCGATTCCCGGCGAATGCTCATTTTTCAATCTTTCTTACTTCCTAAAGAAATCCTAATGTCTCTACAAGCTTAATAACTGCATCTAATTTTGTTATGTCTTTTTTCATCACAATTCACAAACTCATTAATTCTATTGATGGCAGTTCTAGTTTTTTAGCTGCTGTTAAAGCTTCAGCGCTATTGCATTTACAATTCTTAAAAATATCTGAATGGCTTACTGATGCATTTAAAAGCTAAAATACGTATATCAATGCGCGATGGATAGCCAGGCTGTCTTAGTAGGTTTATAAAATAATCCTCGTTTCATTATACGCTCATTAATCCATCAACCTAAGAAACTCTTCTTCAACTATTCTTCACCAATTTTTATTTGCAAATGTAAATCAAGGACATCACTTGCAAAGGGGAGAAAAGGACATCATTTGCAAAATCTGGTATGCGCCATCATTGTAGATATTACAAATGACGCTGCTTAATGTGGCTTAGTGCATGCGATGCATATGAGTAACTGCTGCCAATCTGGATGTAACCGCTATTTTTCCCTCGGTACTAGGCTAAGGAGTTATAATATATAAGAAATCCACATTGATTAAATAAATTGAATATTTCTGTTGGTTATGTAATTTTCCTTTCTTCCATTTTCTGATTCTCCCGTTATTCATATGCATATATATTTGCATCAACCGCTGAAAACTGGTCGTTTGTCCGAATTCTGTTCTTGAAGAACGATCTGGTTGCATAGTTTTCTGTAGATATGTAAAATGAATGCCATCCAGTTTCCCACAGAAAGCCTTTTACGAAGGCATTCCTGCTACAACTGATAGTCCTTACTTGTTTGCTATAATCAGTTAACCAACCAACCAATTTCCTATCATTTTGTCCTTCCTAAGAAGGATTAGAGGGCTTTGTTAATTAATCAGCTAATTAAATGAATAATCATTCTTTTGGATATCATTCCTTTCATCCCAAAATGCAGCTATATTTTACATTGTTTCTCAGAAAGAAAATAAACCTCGCTTGAAGAACGTAGTTTAAGTCCTCGTGCAAATGTTTTAGAATGGAATATGCACATAATGAAGAACATGAAAAATGTGTGTTAAAGAGGGCCTATCAAGAGCAAAGTTTGACGGTAAATGTTTTAAATGGTAAATGGGAAGTACAATCCAATGAAACGCGTGCATTTAGTGGTCATGAAAGATAAAATATCATGCCAGAATACTTGTTAGAACTGTGAAAATAATTAAATGTTCATCACGTCGCTTTTCTTCATCTTCAGCCATATGACCCCGTCGATAAGGGCAGAATTCCATTCGAAGCGTTACGAGAAGACATGTTGTTATTGCTGTTCAGGAGAATTTTATTGCTTACTATTTAACCGCGAGTATCTCGATCCCGTTTAAAGTTGTACCTGCCGTGATCAGTATGAAATTGTTTTCAATTAATAATGTCGTCTTCAATAATGTACAATGGGTGATAGACGGAAATGACCAATTAGTACGTATCTGATGGTGAAGCAAAGCGCGCTCTTGAATCACCAATTTTTTATGGCGCCTGATGTCATGCGGTATGAAAAACTGGTGATTTTCATTGTGCCGACAATGTGATCAGGTTTTTGGTCGACATCTGGCCTGTTTTATCTCCATATACTATCAATGAGTTGTGTAATATATCCAAATTACGGCATGTAACTGCTTGTATCAAAACTGAAATGACACTACAGGATCCGATTTCTTCAGTTCGCCGACTGATGGCGGCTAAATGAAATATCCCATTCTACCATCTTGATTCTTCATATTTTCCTTTTGTTTTTCCAGACATTCTTTTATCTGACGCAGAGTAAAAGGGCGCTGTGGCGCGCTGTCACTCTCTTTCCATTCGACACAAGTCAAGTTGCGTGAACGATATTACTTTTAACAAATGATTTTCTTATTCACTTTATAATACCTAATGGTTAGAAATTTCTTTTCTTATTTTTATACATTATGCATAACAGCAGGTTTACAAACTTTTTCAGCATGTCTTTTTTAGTAACTTATTTCATTTGTATTTTATTTCTATACATTATATCCAACTTAAGTCACTGTGTCTGTAGATTCACCGAAAATGATGGTTCAGTTTGAGGTGTAATGAGTAGTTTATTTTCATAAATTTATTTATTGTATATTATAGTGCACTTATAGCCTGGATTTCGAAGCAGTCAAAAAATAAATATTTTGTTCAAGTAAATTTGAAATATTATATCAATAAGCTCCGTTTGTTATTTTTAGATGCGCAGAAGAATAAAACAAAACTACTGAAAACTCTCAGAATTTAAAGATTCGTTATTTAATTTGTTAATAGTTCCTAATAAGGCGTTTAATTCCTTTAATGACATTTAATCATTCAGTATAGAAGAATGAGAAAATAATAATGGTATAATAAATAGTAGCTGCTATTTTTATTCAATTTTTCAACATAATATTTTCTCTCATTAGAGGCGAATGGGTTTACAGTTGGAGCCCTTTGTGGTTATGCGGTCAAGGTCTTAAAAATGCAACTGTGGGGATAGTTGGCATGGGAAGAATAGGTGAGTATACATGTTTTTTGGATTATGCAATATTGTTTTATAATGCCATAGTGTTTATCTGATAAGATTTTCACTGCATTTACATTCAAACTTCATTTTTATAATTCACATTAATTTTACTATCTGGTTTTACAACGCTAGGATCAAATCGTCGCTGACAAGTTGTTTCGACGTGAATCAGAATTATTTATTTTAAAGATGTAAGATAGAATTTGAATAACAAAGAATGCTTACATTTAATTTATACATATAAAATTAGCTTCTAAATGACTTCATTTATTCCGTGATTTTTTGTTTTATAAAATGTTATTAGTTGAGGTTTGCGAGTTATAATCATCTTCGCTATTAGGTTAGTGTATTCTAATTTATGTTATTTAATGTTTGGAAGTGATCGCGATTCAAGCTAATCTTGATTTGAAAGAAAGTTACACTAAAAATTAAAATATACACTGCGGGAAAAAAAAAAAAAAAAAAAAAAAAAATGGGGATAGTTCTATATTTCTTGTTCTACTGGGCCGATTGACAAAATTCAAATTGCGTTTTTCATGTCTCGAAAGCCCGACGATATATATTAGATTTTTATACAGCATTGTTATAACATAGGTATTTTGACACAAAATTGGACTTTTTCTGAAATAAGATACCAATTTTTTTTTTCATATTTCGATTCTACAACTCATATTATGTCCATATATTAAATTTTGTAAAATTTGGTGCGAAATTTAAAGAGAAATTCAAAAATTTGTCTTGGCGCAATTTTTCGGTTTGCGCCAAGAATAATTCACTTGGCGCACTTTTTAATATATGGCAACCAACTTTCCTTTCCCTTCTATTATACCGGAGCGGAAAAAAAAGCACCTCGTTCCTACCTTTTTACATTGTGCAAGAGCGGGAAAAAAAGTCACATCGTTCTTACTTTCAAATAATTTTAGCAAAGTGTCTAAACCACATTTGATGTTTTATCATTTTCAACAAATATGTCAAATTTATAATCGCGCCAATATATAAATTCACGTATATCTTAGGAAATTTTGAATAAAAAACTGTTATGTTTTGCAGGTATGCTTAGAAATACGTCTATTTTAAGATGATGGTAAAAATTCTATAGATTATAATTCAAAATTGTTTGACAAATTTATAAAAATTATTTTAAAATACAAATTTTAAAAATAAATCATAAAAAATGGGTGAATTTTATTTAGAATGAACTTGAATTTCGAAATGTGAAAGGAAGAATCAAATAAGTTTAATAAAAAAAAGAGAGATCAATAAATATATACCAAACTCAGTTAACACTGAGGAGCTAAAATTTTGAGAGTTTAATTTCTTTTTTTTTAATGGGACCGGTGGCGCAGTGATTAGCGCATCGCGCAGCAGTTGCAGTTTCTCAAAGACAAAATCAATACTTGAAGATACAGACGAAGTGAAAAATAGGTAATTATTAACCATAAGGTAGAAAATGTATTCAAAAATACATAAATTATGGTCCGGGGTTTCGACTTCCGGGCTGGGCAAGGTCGACTTAGCCTTTCATCCGTTGATTTCCATCACTTGGGTCGATAAAATCAATGCCAAGTTCGCTTGGGGACTAAACACTGGGAGTCCTGCGACAAGCTGATCACTTGTTCCGGGTATATGCTTACACACCCCGGGGCCTACGGTCAAGAAAGCAGATTTCGGGCACTGCAGGCCTTGGTCCATTAAGGCTGTTACGCCACTCAGTTTAGTTTTTTTTTTTTTTTTTTTAATTTTTTAAAAACTACTCTTGCGATTTTTACAAAACTTGGAAGTTTGGCGTAATTTGTGTCGTAGAATTTAAATATGGGAAAAAATTGATATGTTATATCAGAAGAAGTCCGATTTTGTGTCAAAATACCATATTAGAACAATGCTATATACTATAAATCTAATACATATCCTAAGTTGCGCTTTCGGGACATGAAAAACCGAAGTTAAATTTCGTCAATTGGCCCAGTGGAACGGGAGATAACTGCCCCCTTTCTTTCTCCCCCCTTTTTTGTGTGTGCAGTGTACATTCGACACTTTAATCGGAAGGAAGTGTCTAATTCAAAAGTATTTCTTCAAATCTTTAGACTAACTAATTTCATAATTTATTTATTTTTGAATACATTTTCTACCTTATGGTTAATAATTACGTATTTTTCACTTCGTCTGTATCTTCAAGTATTGATTTTGTCTTTGAGAAAAAGTAAAACAAGTTATTTCTGATAAAACATATTATTAATTTGTTTTACCATTTCGTGAAGTACCATAAAAGTCTGATTTTTAAAAGTGTGTACAGGAAAATTTATGTTTATAATTTCGAAGCCACACAAAATACTTTCAGTTTACTTTATAAATATTTGAAAATTTACTTGAAAACTAAATAACGAATAAACTATTGTCCCTAAATTGCAACACCATAAATATAAATCTTATTTGCGCTGTTGCAGGTCAAGCTGTGTTAAAAAGGCTTTTGCCATTTGAAGTGGAAAAGGTTCTGTATTACGATGTATTTCACCCCATAAAGCCAGGTAAGATACAAACTTAGTTATGTAAAATAATTAAGTCTGGGTTCATCTATTCTTTTATGTGTGATGATATTATATGTCTAACATGCTTATTTAAATACAATTCAAGAATATTAAATGTCGGTTAAAGTCCTAAAAATAAAAAATAAAAATTAAAAAAGAGGAAACAATTATTTAGTAATAGTGTGCTGTTCTAAGTGCAGAATAATAATAATAATTTAAAAATGAACACGCTTTTTAGTCCAAAGAGACTTTGTCCCTGAAAGATTATTGTTTTCGTTTTACGATTGTGCGTTGGTTCACTATAAATGTCATTTCACTTTTCAAACTTTTGCCACCAAACGTTAGAGTCCTGCATTATATTTGAAGAAATTAAATAATGAAAAATCTGCATAAATGTATGCATATTTCTCGCACTGAGATGAAACAACGGTACCTAGAGCCATCCAATTTTGAATGGCGTAATCCTACTGCGAATATGGGCATCTGGAAACCCAAATTTGCAATTTGGAATTTGGTTTATTATCGATTTCATATTTTGTAAAACTTTAACGAATTTTTGATTAACAAACTCAAGGATTTCAAAGCGAGCAATGGCAACGTTGTACAGAAAAAACATTTTTATCTCCAACGCGCTGTATCAGAAATTCTATCGATATGCTTAATTTAAATTAATTTGCAAGACTCTGTATCAGAAATTATAAGGATATGCTTAATTTAAAACTATTTTGCGATATTGCTCTTTAACTGAATTTTATGGTTTAAGTGCAAAGAACGTGATATTTAATAAATAAAAGTAACAGACAAAATGTAAAAAAGAAAAAAAACACTCCCTTTGAACATAATTTAAAATCTGAAACCTTTCAGATTTTTAAACTTTTTTCAGTTTTTACTTCCTTGTACGAAGTAAAAAGGAAGTATTGTAATCGCGAAAAGTTTCAGGCAGCATATTTCAACGAAAATATCCATTTTGACAGCTATCGAATGCAATTTAACGATGTTTTTGCGTGATATCTGTACGTAAGGACAGAATAAAATACTCTTTTCCTTAAAAAAATAAATAAATAAATAAATAAATAAAAATAAATCTGATGTGTACACCACATGACTTCCTTGTACGGAATATTAAAGTATACGCGTTTTTTCTTCCATTTCATTTAAACTTATTGGATTGAATTAAATCTACTTCGCCGACAGCGCATAAACCACAATAGAATAAATGCATTCTTTAAAATTCACTCTATTTGTTTACCATAGCGAAATTCTGGCGCTAGGTTCACGTAACAGTATTATATTTCGTTCATATTATAACTCAGAATGCACAAAATTTATATCATTTAAAGAATTATCTAATCGTTGCCACATGTTCTATTCAAATACTATAATAAAGCTAGAATGATGTATAAAAGAAATTAAGCAAACAAAACAAAAAAAGGACAGTTTTTCATAGACGATTGAGTACTTCTCATTCAATTAATTCAGTTCTCACTTCGCGAGAAGGCAAAAATACATAAAAAGTCAAAATATCTGTATCAAAAATTACGAAGTAACTCTTAAACACTTATTTCCTGGAAAAAATTCCACAAAGGATTAAGCATGATTTAATTCGCAATAATAAATGAAGGCGTTATCTTTGTTGTTGCGAAGCTAAGTTTCTCTAGATTGGCAACAAATCTACTATTCTGCTGTTTCAAATGTAAACAAGCAATGGCCGCCATCAAAAACATTATTAGGCTTAGCGGCACTTAAACGACTTTAAAATTGTTGATAATTCTAAAAATATTGCATACAGATTTACGAAAGGCATAAAAACCTTAACCGGAAGATAACAACAACATAATTCAATCATTTTTAAAACAAAAAATGTACAATTTACAAACATATAAGAGTAATGAAACTGAGATCACTGAGCCGGGTAACAAAGTGGATATATATATAAATATATTTATGTACGTTTAGTGCGGCCGATTGCAACCAAAATACGAGGTGCACATCTACATGTATTAGCAGTCCTACATACAAAATTTCAACGTTCTGAGGCTACTCGTTTTTGAGTTATGTGAGATACGTACGTTCGTACATACGCCACGAAAAATTCTTTTCAGAATTCATTTTAAAGCAGTTTTATAATTTTTTTGGAGGAAAAGAGTCTTTTATTCTGTTCTTACGTACAGATATCACGCAAAAACATCGTTAAATTTCATTCGATAGCGGTCAAAATGGATATTTTCGTTGAAATATGCTGCCTGAAACTTTTCGCGATTACAATACTTCCTTTTTACTTCGTACAAGGAAGTAATTTTAAAACTGCTTTAAAATGAATTCTGAAGAGAATTTTTCGTGGCGTCTGTACGAACGTATGTACGTACGTACGTATCTCGCATAACTCAAAAACGAGTAGCCTCAGAACGTTGAAATTTTGTATATAGGACTGCTATAACATGTAGATGTGCACTTCGTATTTTGGTTGCAATCGGCCGCACCAAACGTATATAAATATATTTATATACATATCCACTCTGTTACCCTGCTCACTGATCTCAGTTTCTTTACTCTTATATGTTTGTAAATTGTACATTTTTTGCTTTAAAAGTGATTGAATTATAATGTTCTTATCTTCCGGTTAAGGTTTTTTATGCCTTTAGTAAATCTGTATACAATATTTTTAGAATCATCAACAATTTTAAAGTTGTTTAAGCGCCGCTAAGCCTAATAATTATTTTGATGGCGGCCATTGCTTGTTTACATTTGAAACAGCAAGATAGTGGATTTGTTGCCAATCTACAGAAACTTAGCTTCACAATAACAAAGATAAAGTCTTTATTTATTATTGCGAAGGAATTTTTTCGAGGAAATAAGTGTTTAAGGTTTACTTCGTAATTTTTAATATAGATATTTTGAGTTTTTATGTATTTTTGCCTTGTCGCGAAGTAAGAACTGAATTAATTGAATGAGAAATACCCAATCGTCTGTGAAAAACTGTTTCGTTTTTGTTTTGTTTGCTTAATTTCTTTCATGCATTGTTCTAGCTTTATTATAGTATTTGAATAGAACATGTGGCAACGATTAGATAATTCTTTAAATGATATAAATTTTGTGCAGTCTGAGTTTTAATATGAACGAAATATTATACTGTTAAGTGAACCTAGCGTTAGAGTGTCGCTATGGTAAACAAAGTGAATTTTAAAGAATGCGTTTATTCTATTGTGTTTTATGCGCTGTCGGCGAAGTAGATTTAATTCAATCCAATAAGTTTAAATGAAATGCAAGAAAAAATGCATATAATTTAATTTTCCGTACAAGGAAGTCATGTGGTGTACACATCAGATTATTTATTCTTGACTTAATGGCCTTAATGCAATAATGCATGATCAGGAGTGCTAAAAGGTGCTATCACCTCTCCGTCCGGTAATTGGTGCATACAAACCTGCATGAAAAATGCGTGGGGTTATTATTATTATCTTTTTTTTTTTTTTTTTTTTGGGCGGAAGAGGACTAAATATAAAATAATACATGAAGTTCACGTGTTTTAATGAAGACCAACGTTCTAATAGTGACAATCTATAAAAACGTATTTCAATATGCTAAACACGAATATTTCCAGTAGTCTTCGATTAATTGATTTTTTCCCCCCACAAAAGCGTAGATGAGGTTAATGTTTATGATAGATAGAAGGCCCACTCACCGTTTGCAAAAAATAATACGATTACATGAAATAATATTTTTTGTAATATCCGAACACTTTCTCATTTAGGAATGGATCATCAATTTATAAGCTTGATTGGACGAACTACGTTTACAGTATTATCGAGTAAATGGAGATATTACTGTGTACAACAGACTGTGACGTGGTGGATGCTTCAGTGGGAACGGAATCAACACTGGTATTGGTGATGCATGACTTTAATTACACAACATTACACAGATACAACATTTAATTAATACATTTAGAAAAACTTGAGTACATATCCGAGTTGGTGACACGATCAGAGACGTTAACGATGATAGCACTCGTCATCACTGGACAAATTTAGTCTCCACACGTCAGCTCGCTGGCGGAGCTTCCCAAACTCTCTCTCACTGACAGGCGTCTCACAGAAATCTCATCTCTTTACGCATGCGTAATTCTCAGTTAAGTCGTTGCCATTCACAGTTCTTTAAATAAGGTGTTAAAATGAATTATAGTACTCGTAGTGTGAGGAGTTTGCTAACGACGTTCTCTCTAGTCAAGAGCATCATAGGTCTTTCTAGTAGAGTTCAGGAGCGTTCTTTACAGACTAACTCCTTCCGCCTCCAGATTTTGTTTTCCTCGGACACAGAGGAAACAAAACTTTGCAGGATAAAATAGAAGTTCAGGCAGGCGTTCGCTACAAACAAACACATTCCGCCTCCAGTTTTTGTTTCTCCGGACACAGGAGAAGTAAACCTTCACAGTTCACAGTTTCTGGTTTCAATACAGATTGTTCAACATTTTACCAGTTAATTTTAAACTACACTGTTATAAAGGCTCTCCACTCTCATAACCAGGCCATCATAAAAAGAACACAATAAAAATACACATACAATATATGAAAAACCAAAACAAAAATTTTGTCTTTATGAATATATGAAGCTAACAATTTACTATATAGTATGAATTTAAAAAAAATACAATATACATAATCAAATAACAAAACAATTTAAAAGAAATGATAACTAGTCTATTTAACTGGCATGTACAGAGTTTCTACTTAAGCAGTCTCTACATTTAAGTTGTCACTTCCCTTTTTTATGATGTATCGTAAAATTATAAGATTGCAAGGCTAAGGCCCAGCGTAATAATCGACCATTTCTACCTGCATTATCTTTTAGCCATACTAGGGGATTATGGTCCGTTTGAACTGAAAATTTAGTCTGCCCATCACCCTTTCAGTTTTTTTATTCCATACAGAATTGCGGCACACTCTTTTTCAGTGGTCGAATACTTCCGCTCACTATCAGTAAATTTTTTACTGAGATACAAT